TAATTATTAAATTGTTAATTCTACAAAAAACAAAACTTTGTACAAGAAAAGATACGTAACTACAGTATATTAACTGTCTCAGAAGTTAACAAATAGCACACAATCATAATAATTTTTAAAACATTGACTATTAATTTTAATTGTGACTTACCTGTATGGACAGGAAGAGAGAGAGAGTAGGCAGAGGATAGTAGTATTAGAGAGCTAAATCTACAACTCATTAACAGGACTCCGTAGATAATTGCTAAAAGTGATAAATCCAAAGATAACAATGTATGCACAGTATTTAGAAATATGAAGGTAAATACTAGAAGAATCAACCAGAATATTTGTTGGTGGTTGCCTCTAGGGGTGAACTGGCTGGGAAGGAATTGCTGCTTTTTATTAGAAGCTCTATTTCTTAAAATAAATGAAAATATTACTTTTTAAGAAGTTGGTTATTTTAAGAAGCAATATGGGCTCACTGAGAAAAACTTAGAAAGCAGAAAGTATAAAGAAGAAAACAAAAGTTATTTATAAAAACTTTATAACTTTTGGCTTAACTTTTGGTGTATTGTCCAACCTTTTCCAACTACATATATGTGTGAAGCCAGCTTTTTTTCATCATACCTCAATGAAACTACTGCAACTGCCTCTTGACCCAGAAGGCTAGTGACTAGACACTGGAGTGCTGCTGCAGGCAAATCCAAAGCTTCCACCACTGCACCAGCCACCCCTAGAAGCTAGCAGCAGGAAGATGGCCCTGCCTCACCCCCCTTTCAAATGGCAACAAGTGCATTTGATTGACAGAACTTTATTTGGACACAGACCCTCACTAGGAATGTAGTTTCTGGCATTCTAACTCCTACAGAATGCAAAATCTCCCCCCAAAATTGGAATAGAGGACAAAGGCCAAGTCATTTCAGTATAGATGTGCAGAAGGTCAGTGTTCTCTGCATGCTAGCCATGGCATTGATAATAGGGACAAGGAATTGCTGCAGTGATAGAATAACCAACGATGGCCAGTGTGCTCCGGAGAAACAGAACCAATAGTAGATATAGATATATGAGAGGAGATTTATTATGGGAGTTGGCTCACTTGATTCGGGACACCAAGAAGTCCTACAATATGATGTCTGCAAACTGGAGAGTCACAGAAGATGGTGCTACAGTTCTTTCTGAGTCTGAAGGCCTGAGAAGCTGGGGGTGCTGCTGGTACAAGACCAAGAGTCGAAAGGCCTGAGAACCTGGAACTGATGTCTGAGGGCAGGAGAAGACAGGTGGCCCAGCTCCAGCAGAAAAAGTGAATTCACCCTTCCTCCACCTTTTGTACTATCCAGACCCTCAACAGATTGGATGATGCCCACCTACATTGGTCAGGTTGGATCTTCTTTACCCAGTCTACTGATTCAAATGCTAATCTATTCCTGAAACACCCTCAGAGACACACCCAGAAATCATGTTCTATCAGCTATTTGGGCATCCCTTAACTCAGTCAAGTTTACACACAAAATTAACCATCACAGTTGGGATTAATTGGCTGGAAAAGCATTAAATGTACGACATGAGGGATAATTTTTTTTCTTTTTTGAAGTAGAGAAAGGTATTTCAGTTATCTAACTTATATCTAGCCTTATTCCACAAACGATTGTAGGACTAGAGAAGCAATATGTGTTGGTAGAGAAAGGCAGGGAGCATTCTAGTCAGCATTAACCTATATAAAACTGTGATATAAAAAGATTTGGATTGTTTTGCCTGGTGTAGGTATAGACAATGATAGAGGGCTGTGACTCACATAATTAAGGGCTGAGATTTGATACAGGACAACCCACTCAGAAGTACTGATATTTCTCAGCAGCACAATGAAAATGAGAAGATAACTATTAAAACAAAATCTGTGTAATCATTTTTAAAAATAAGGAATCTAGCTAAGTCATTGATTTGGGGGTGAGACAAAATATGAAGCTCTCTGGCAAACAAAAAATTCAAATTTTGCATATTGTTAAAGTTGGAGAGCCAATCTGAATACAGTGATCTCCTGTGCTAAGGAATATACGATGTTTTTAGATAATGTCCAGTCCACAGTCTACAACATCTCAGTTTATAAATTTGAATTTTTCCAAATGGGGTACTTAAAGACAAGCTCTGCAAAAACACTTTCCTGGTTTTTCCCTTGTGCATGTTTTCACCTTCCACTATTATCTTATAAGTTGCTTATAAAAGTTCTTTTGTTTGATTTTTATCTCCTTCTCACACCTGCATCAACAACAAACTCCCTTCTCAATCTGTCCATGATTCCTTTTTTACTAGCAACAGCTAATTAGGAGTAATTGAGATTTCAAGGCTTTGGACAAGATTCCACTTGCTAAAATTAAGTTAGAAATACAGGGCCTAAATATATCTAAACTTTGTTTTAAAAGAATATAGGATGTTACAGAATTTTAATTAACTTTCATAAGTGATTAATTATTACATAATCTTCATATTCATCAACCAAGACTATGTAAAAGGCAAAAAAGTAAATTACAGGCTCAAATGCCTAATCTCCATGGAAGTGCTCTTCAAATGAACAGGAATAAACAGATATTTAATATGTTTTGAGGATTATTTAAATCTTTTTATACTGCTATATTACATTTTATGTATTTTACACATTTATATTGCATGCGCCAACTATTCTACTTATCCAATGAACATCTGTTATTTACTAGCAGAATATGACTTTAGACTTGCTCTTACAAGTTTAATAATAGGTAATATATTTTGACTCATGGTAGACCCCAGCAACTGACATTAAAGTAATGGGCATAATTCAATTCAACCAAAACACCTAATATGTAGAAGACAACCCATAATTTCCCAGAAATACCCCAAACAATGAAAAATTAAATTCTTTAAACTATGATTATACTAGAAAAAGTTGCAAGCTTTGTGTGACAATTTCTGAAAACCTGTCTATAAGTTGTTCTTTTTAAATTATCTATGTTAATTGGGCTCTCTAAGAAACAAATGGCAAGACAAGATTAAGTCTGAAAGAGACTGACTGGGGATGTCTATGAATTAGAAAGGTGAGGAGGAGGCACCGTGTGATACCTGTGAAGTGAGAGCGAAGGAAAGGATTGGGTAAGAAGAACCTTAGACAGCAGCATAATCCTAAGAAAATTCTGGACAGGCTAATGGTAGGTCCTTGAGCCAGCATTAGTAGCCCTGCCATACTGATTCATTGGCTGGGGACAGCAGAGACACGGTGGTGGATCCCACGGGGTGGCAGCTGGGGTTCTCAATCAATTCTGCTTTCCCCAGGAGATCTCAGTGATGCATATGCATACTCACCACACCATCTTATGTAAGTACCAAACTGATAGTCTTCAAGTTTTTTTGTTAATGTTTAATGGATATAAAGACCTTACATATTTTCATGCCACCAAATTTTACCTATATTTTTGAAAAGTGTCATGAAACATATTACTATTAACAGAGGTTAAGGATTTTATTTTCTTAATACAATACTTTGGTTGTTATGTATTTTATATTAGCTTTTGAAAGATATAAACTGTCTATCATATATCATGATAATTAGCATAGAACACAAGCAAAACTATACAGTAAAAATAATTTAACATAATGTTTTTGGAATGTTAACTTAGTAATAGCCTTCATTAATTTGGGCTAATTGGAGGTTGACTAAATCATAATTTTTTTTAAAGTGTGGTTACTACTTAGCAGCATACACAGTAACTGCAACTAGAACAGATATTGACTAAGAGAAACAACGATATAAAGACTGAATGACTAGTCCTAATTAGTACACTGAATACACTTTATAAAAGTTTACTCTCTTAAGTCCTATAATCTTCTCAAATAATATTGCACTTATAATGCATATCACACAATTATCAGCCCACTGCATTCTGTCTTCTACACACTCTGCAAACCTTTTCTTTCTACGTAATTCAAGTGTAGCCTGGGGGCTGAAGGCCCAGCCTCTGCAACTGAGTAAGGCCAGAGGACATGCAGCAAAGGATGTCTTAGGGGAGCCCAGCAGTTCCTGTCCTTCCTTCATTCTAGATCTGTAAACTGAACTTGACTTTTCCTGACCCAGTTATGAAAAGACCACAGGGCAGGAGCTTTAGTCATCAAAACTGACTAAGCTGTCCCATTCCATTACCTGCTTCTCTCATATTTGCCATCTATACTTGAATTTTATGTTTCACAAACTAATATATATTTCAGTTCAGTTCATTCATACAAATAATCACTATTTTTCATGTTTTCATATTTTTTTTTGTCTTTTTCGTGACCGGTAAGGGGATTGCAACCCTTGGCTTGGTGTCGCCTGCACTCCCAAGCGCTGCACTGTAGCAGTGTGCCACCGGGCCGGCCCTGTTTTCATATTTTTAATGTGAATTAAAAATTCATATAAACCAACTTCAACTCAAGTATTTCAGATTTTAGTTTGTTTCATCTTTCCCCCAGGAAGCCTAGAGATCTGGAAAAATATATTCATGATTTAAGGACAGCTAACCAAGAGGTATGTGCTATGAACTGCTACAAGTAAGTGGCTTACATGTTATGATGTTTAATTTTATGTGTCAGTTTGAGTAAGCCGTGGAGTACCCAGATTAATGATTGTTTCTGGATGTGCCAATGAGGGTGTTTCTGGTTGAGATTAAGATTTGAATTGATGGACTCAGTGGATTGCCCCAATGTAGTTGGGTATCATTCAATCCATTGAGGGCCTGAACAGGACAAAAGGAGGAATTCACCTTTTTTTCCTGCAGTAGCTTGAGCTGGGACATATCTTATCTTCTCTTGCCCTCAAACTGGATTTACATCATTGGCTCCCCTAGTTCTCAGGCCTTTGGACTTGGACTCAGCCAAATTATCAGCTTTCCTGGGTCTCTAGCTTGCAGACTTCTTAGCCTTCAGAATTGTGTGAACCAATTCCTCAATAAATCAATCTCTCTCTCTCTCTCTATCCTATTGGTTCTGTTTCCCTGAAGAAACCTGAGTAACACACATGTATTTATTCATTTAATCTTCTCAACTTCCCTGGAGGTAGAACCACTGAAGCACAGAGACATTAAAATAACTTACCCAAGGTCACATAGGTAATTAAGTAGAGAACCCAAGTATTCTGACTCCAAGTTAAAGATTTTCTGTCATTACTGAGGCCTCAAACTATAATGCATTATTTAACTCACATTTAAAAAGCCACTATTACCTAGAACATGTTAACACGATCATTTAAAAAAAAATAATTTTATTTACATGTGCATTTTACAAGCAACTGATTAATTTAAACTGAAAAATGATGAAGTAAAGGTTTGCAGCTCTAATCACCATTTACATACCTCAATACATTTGAGTTAAAGTTAATATGTGCTAATCTAAAAATATTTTCCCTTTCCTAATTTATAGCAGCATATGTTCTTCCAAAGCCATCATACATATTTTTAAACATGTTATAGAAATTAGATGACTTAAAGGATACAAAGAAAGAAAATAATCAAAACTAAGTTAATTCAGATATACTCAGAAAACAATACTGAAATTAAAGAAGATGTGACTTAAAAATCAATACAGCGTCCTTTTCGTTCCCAGTCTCCATATCGGGTAGGTTCTGGGCCCCTGGGTCCACCTTTTTCTTTGGTAACTGGATTAACATCATCTGGAAATTCTAAGGAAAGACAGAAGATATAAACAAAGTCAATAGAGATGAGAAAAGCATTATGACCAATTTTGAACACAGGGTTGCATAATCAGCCAGAAATTACTGACCAGGTAACTATGTGATCTTTAAGTGAACAGTAAATGTGGTTCTTCTTCGTGAGTTTGAGAAATTACTTTAGGATACAATTTTCATATTCAATCAACTTTCCTACCAACATTAATAACAGAATTCTGGGAGTGCTTTCAGCCCCCAATCTGGGAAGCAGCTTTGTATGTGCTGCTGGATCCAAACAGAAGGAAAGGGGTGCAGAAAACACGAAGTGCAAATGCACAAAACTTGAAAGGTTTTGAAACAAGATTACTTTGAAGCAGTCACTACGACTCAATGCCTCAGTTTTCTTACCAGTAAAATGGGTAAACAATCGTTCCTGCCTTACTGTGTTGAGAATTACACAGAGTAATGCATGTAAAGGTCTAGTACAGTACCAGGTACATAAGAATGCTGATTAACTTCAGCTATGGGTATTATTACCCCTCATCATAGGGTTTTGGCTTCAGCAACTGGTTAGTTAGTATTGCCACTTATGGACATAAAGCAATTATTGTTATTAATACAATGTGTTCATAATAGGAATCCCCATCATGATTCAGGCCGAATCCTGAGCACTTTATACATATTAACTCATTTAGTCTTCATAATAATCCTATGCAGCAAGAACAATCATTGTCCCCATTTTATGGATGGGGAAAATGAGACATAAAGAGTAAAGAAAGTTGCTCGATGCCACACAGCTACTAAGTGGTGAAACTGAGTTTGAATTCAGACATTCTGGCTGCCGTCTTGCTGTCAGCCCACACATGGGACTGCTCTGTATATGGAAAGAACAGGAGAGAAACCAACTATTAGAAAGAACCTTCAGGTTAATGAATCAGGGTCGGGGGTGGGGGAGCAGCCGAGAGCCTCAGCCATGTCCCTCTGAAGTCCATGTCCAACCCACCCACAACCAAGCTACCACCGGAAGCCCCCTGGGCTCCCTTGCCAGAATGAGAGGGGTGCCACGGGCCTTGGCCATGCCCCCCTTTCTTCCTCCTCCCACCCTATCCCCTTCCCTTTCCCCTCTCTTTCCCCCCAACTGCTCCACAACATCTTAGAATGTAAAAAAAAAAAAAAAGGAAGGAAGGAAGGGGGGGAGGGAGGGAGGGAGGGAGGGAGGAAGGAAGGAAGGAAGGAAGGAAGGAAGGAAGGAAGGAAGGAAGGAAGGAAGGAAGGAAGGAAGGAAG